CAGGGACCACCACAAAATCATAAAGTCTTAAAGTGTTTGATGCTGTTAGTGACTCCCAGTAAGAATCCATTGCATCCTCTCTTTGTACCAAGAAGCAGCCTGTAACCGAATCTGTACTGATGAGTTCCCTTTTTCAGTCTCTGTCCTTTCACTCTATGTTAGACATCAGAAAGTTATCTCCATTTGCGGAATTGTGCATTTCTTCACAATTTGAGGGCTTACACGTGGAAGTCTATTTAGATTTGGTCCGAGGGGCCTGAGTCTGGAAGAGTGTACTGTGTCCTGAACCATGGCACAAAGGTTGACATTTAAAACTTTATTTTTTGGGGATTAGGAAAATATTGACTTATTTTCCTTTGGGGGACTAATATAAAGCTTACTGTTTCAATAAATGTATTTCAATGAAAGAGAGATTTGATTTGAAGAAAAATACGAAGTATATGATAGTGCAGAAGTTGTGGCAGAAATCTTGAAGATTGTACCATGAGTAAGTCGAGTTTGGGAGACACTTAAGAACAGAAAAAGGCTCAGTAGTTGGAAGACTTGGATTTGAATCCCGATTCTACCGCTAGATGTGGATAGCTGATCCTAAGCTCCGAGCCAGTTTCTTCATGTACGAAGTTGAAATGATAGTATTTTCCTTGTCTATTTGATGCGTTTTGGTTAAGAAACGGGTAGAATATATATTGAAAGTGTTTTCTTAAAGACTGCAGAGTCATCTTGGAGTGAAACAACCACCAAAACCCTAATAATATGAGCAGCAAGTTATTTCAAGAGAGCTCAGGAATCAGTGAATGAGAACTTTCAAATGCAAACCTTTTTTTTTTTCCCCTGCATGGTGAAAACTGAGTAGGTTCCAAATTTAGGCTGACGGTTTTCCTGTCACTACTTAGGAAGAGAAGACTGAAACATATGCTCGCTTCTCTTCAGATTATATAAATGCTTTTGCCTTTTACTTAACACTGCTACAGAACTTATAGAAGGACGCAGTGAGACCTTGCTATTATTTGGGTGTTTATGAACTACTGATTATTATTATTTTTTAAAATAAATTTATTTATTTTTGGCTGCATTGGGTCTTTGTTGCTGTGCATGGGCTTTCTCTAGTTGCGGCGAGCGGGGCCTACTCTTCGTTGCGGTGCGCGTGCTTCTCATCGCGGTGGCTTCTCTTGTTGCGGAGCATGGGCTCTAGGCACGTGGGCTCAGTAGTTGTGGCTCGCGGGCTCTAGAGCGCAGGCTCAGTAGCTGTGGCTCATGGGCTTAGTTGTTCCATGGCATGTGGGATCTTCCCGCACCAGGGCTCGAACCCGTGTCTCCTGTATTGCCAGGCGGATTCTTAACCACTGTGCCACCAGGGAAGCCCTAAACTACTGATTATTATAACACAGTTTTCTTGCGTTAGGAAAAAGCACCTTTTCAGGCCAATCAGTGCACGAACTGGCAGGAAGGCAGTGCCCAAACCTGAGAGAAAGACCCTTTTTGTGTGTGATGGAAGCTTTATTTCGGGTAACCCTGTAAGTCTGATAATCAAATCATAAAGCTGAATAGGAAAGTTAGATAAGGGTTATGTTCTAGACCGCCGGGCAGAGCTGCCATTAAGTCATGGTAATTCTAAAAGTCAAAGGTTTTCCTTGTCTCTGATGCCAACAGAGTTACAGCTGAATCCTACTGACAGCTCGAATTGTGCTTTTAATTCCGGGGAGAGGGCTGGAGAAACAAATGGGGATCGGAGGCAGCTGGGGGATGGGAGGGGGCCCTTAATCCTTCTCTTTTTCTTTTTGTAAAAATGAAGCCTGATTCACGGGCCTAGATCTTCTTCTAGGAGAAGATTTGTGGGACCCAGAATAGCCACCCCAGCTTCTTCTGCAGTTGAGCTACCCCTGACAAAGGAGTAGGAGTGAAGACCGAGAATGCTTAGTTGAATCAGTTTTCTATGAAAAGTGAAACCTCGTTTTCTGTAACATGAATATGTGGCCTTTGAAACACAGGGAGAGCTGGAAGTTTCATTTTTAGAAGGCATATACTGTACGTTTCAACAAGTGATTCATTTTGACGTATCCTTTAGCATAGTAATTTGACAACTAGGTTAGAAAGCTGAAGGAGGATTTTCTTTTTCAAAGTTACTTGGAGCAGGTGCCTGTGAAATTATTGTGCAGAGAAGATTAGCAGATGCTAATTCAACAGGTTAAACAATGAAATTGGAGGACTGTTTTTGCAATCTGTATTGGGAAGATAGTTGGCACCGAAAGCAAAACTTTGAAATTCAGTTTCTAAGGCTTGCCTTTTTTTTTTTTTTTTTAATCGGGGTAGTTGTTTTACAGTGTTGTTAGTTTCTACTGTACAGCAAAGTGAAGTGGAGTTCCCTGTGCTATACAGCAGGTTCTCATTAGTTATCTGTTTTATGCGTAGTAGTGTGTATATGTCAGTCCCAATCTCCCAGGCTTGCCTTTTTAGATGGGACTTTTATTCACTTAACTTCTCTGAGAAATTGATTACAGACTCTAAGTGTTAGGGCTCAAGCTTCACTCACAGTGTCCTTTCACTTGGGTCCACGAAACATGGTAGATATGGGACAAGGGGGTCAAATGTTCCTATCAGAAAAATCTCTGAGTTCACAAAATAGGAGTCTTTTTCCTTTTATTTCAGCTTGTTTTGCACGGGTATCCGTAGACATGATAGGGATGATCTGCTTCATTTGATCTCATGGGTCAATAAATCCAAATTTAAGACTTGAAATGAAATATATCTTTGTTAGGATCTTTTTCCCCCAGATTTATTGAGATATAATTGAAAAATAAAAGTATATATTTAGAATGTACAGCGATTTAATATACGTATACCTTGGGAAATGATTACCACAATCGGAATTAATTAACACATCTGTCACCTCACATGGTTACCTTTTTTGTGTGTGTGAGAATGCTTGAGATCTACTCTCTTAGCAAATTTCAAGTATGTAATACAGTATTGTTAGCCATAGTCACCGTGCTGTACGTTAGATCCTCAGAACTCACTCAACTTGTAACTGAAAGTTTGTACCCTTTGACCAACGTCTCCCCGTTTTCCCTCACCCCGCTGCCCTTGGCAACCACCATTCTCCTTTTTTTTAGATTCTACGTATAAGTGATACCATACTGTATTTGTCTTTGTCTGGCTTATTTCACTTAACATAATGCCTTCAAGATTTATTCGTGTTGTCGCAAGCAGTGGAATTCCTTCTTCTCTATGACTGAACAATATTTCATTGTATATATGTACACGTCACGTTTTAAAAATCCATTCCTCTCTTGATGGATACCTAGGCTGTTTCCATGTTTTGGCTATGGTAAATAATGCTGCAGTGAACATGGGAGTGCAGATATCTCTTGGAGATAATGATTTCTTTTCCTTCAGGTATGTACCCAGAAGTGGGATTGCTGGATCATATGGTAGTTCTATTTTTAACTTCTTGAGGCACCTCTATACTGTTTTTGTTAGGATCTTTTAGACTTGTTGAACACTGATTCTCATTCGTTAGAGTGGTTTACTCTCACTAACTAATCTTACAGAGGAAACTCTGTGACGCCCTTCAGATATGGAACTGCGATATAGCTGTGACCATGTATAAAAACGGTTCTCAAAGGATGGTTTGGATACAGTATACTGGAGACTGCCTCAAATACTATGTACACAAATACAAATATAACCCCTATTCCATTTTGCTGTTAAGTTTTAATATATCTTAAATTCAAGTTTTCTTTATACAGTTTTCATTATAAAATTATTAAGAAAAATAATTTAAGTAAAACGTTATTACTAGAAATCAATAATATAGACCCGCCTGGGTTTACAGTAGTGTGTTGAGACATGGCTCTGGTAGAATCTGAATATCTCCAAGTTCATTCAACACTAATGACTGGTTGTCTACTGAGTGCCAGGTACTGTTCTAGGTGCTAGGGTTATAGTGGTGAACAGATGAAGGGAAATCCCTGCCCTTAAACAGGCAGAGCCGTAAAATAGACAGTGTATCAGATCAGGGTAAATTCAGTGAAGGAATAGATGATAGGAAGGTAGGTGATGGGATCCTATTCCAAGTTCAGTACCTTGAACTTTAGTATCTTGCTGTATTTCTCAGGGGAGGAAAGGCTATATGAGGTGGAAAGAACAGAGCTTTGGAGTCACAGAATCAGGTTTGAATTCCAGCTCTGAAGGTGGGCAAGTTACGTAACCTGTTCTGAGTCCAGGATTTCTTCATCCGTAAAATGGGAACAAAGATTTAATCTATTTCATAGGGTTATTGTGAGTCTTATGTGAAAAAATGTGGAGAAAGCACTTGGCACGGTGCCTGGTATCTAGAAAAGGCTCAGTAGATGCTGTTATCACTCTTATTAAATCAGTCACATCCTGGATTTCTCAGGGTCACTAACCCTGCTCCTTGTAACCTTGGCCTCGGGCTGTGGCCCTACTATCAATGGCCGGGTCACCTGGAAGTCCCACAGGGATCCCCTGACTTTGCCACCTGGAACCTCATCCTTTCATGCCCTGCCCATTGGATCAAGCACCTCCAGTACCCATGCCTGCCCCAGCTATTTGGAAACTTGAGATGTCCTTTGGACAGCGTGCCTGGTACCAAGTAGGCACAGGAATGTTGCTACTTTTCTCCCCTTTAGTTACCCAGTGAATAGTGCATACTCAGTAAATATCAACTGACAGGCTTCCGTATATGCCACTTTTTGTTTTGCCTTAAATTCAATAAATTGTTGGGTGGCACACGGATAAGCAGAGTACAGGGCTGTCTCTCCTGAACTCTTGTGTTTAGCAGAGAGATCTGTGTTTGTATGTATGTATTTGGTGTGTGGGTCTAATTATGGAGACTGTTTCCCTCATAAAAGTGTCTCCTTTAATTGCTGAGTATCAATAATCCCTTCTTTGGTGAAATAATGTATCTTTGACACATGATGAGGAGGAACTACTCTCTCGTGAGTTTGACAGTATTAACTTTCTTTTCGTCTCTCATTAAGGAAAAGACCAAAGTTGTTGAGCCCTTGGACTATGAGAATGTTATCACCCAAAGAAAAACCCAGATTTACAGCGACCCCCTCCGAGATCTGCTTATGTTTCCAATGGAAGATATATCTGTGAGTTCACAAGCACTTCTTTAAAGAACAAAACTGCATTTTTCAAGGCCGTTCGTAGAGCGAGGATGTTCTTTGTCTTCTAGATCTCGGTGATAAGTCGTCAACGCAGAACGGTGCAGTCTACTGTACCAGAAGATGGTGAGAAGAGGGCCCAGAGCTTGTTTGTCAAAGAGGTAAGAGGCTCAAAGGCCACAGAAGAAAATTCATCATTCATTCATTTTAAATATACTGTATTTAAAATACTCTTTCCTGGGGAGATCTGTATGTGTATGGCTGATTCATTTTGTTGTGCAGTGGAGGCTAACACAACATTGTAAAGCAACCATACTCCAATAAAATTAATTTAAAAATTAAAAAAATAAAGTACTCTTTCTTTAGTGTAAATGGAAAATAAAATCACTAGAACTTAACTGACCTACATAACAAGTCTATATGATGTGATATAGAGGATACAATTTAAATACTTTCACAAGTAGCTTGTATTCGTAGTCTTTTTTTTTTTTAGAAGGCAAAGGACGTTGTTTACTTTTATTTATTGATTTATTTATGTGGCTGCGCCGGGTCTTAGTTGCTGGCATGCAGGATCTTTCTTGCGGCATGAGGGATCTGTGGTTGCAGCATGCGCGCTCTTAGTTGCGGCATGTGGGATCTAGTTCCCTGACCAGGGATCGAACCCAGGCCCCCTGCATTGGGAGCACGAAGTCTTAACCACTGGACCACCAGGGAAGTCCTCTTAGTCTTTTTTTTTTTTATTTGAATAATCTTTGGACTTGGAGTCAGAGTGTCCAAGAGAACACGTGAATTGGTATTTATTGCCACCAACTGGTTTAGGAAGACATGGTTAATTCCCAAAGGAAGAGCCCAGTACCAATATTCCCCAAATGATTTTTAAAAGTCTGTCAGCCTGTTACCAGACATAAAAAAAGCAGATATACATGTACTTTTCCTACATTTCAAATTAAAGATTCTTATTTTCTTTCAGTGTATTAAAACTTATAGCACAGATTGGCATGTGGTAAACTACAAGTATGAAGACTTCTCTGGGGACTTTCGAATGTTGCCATGGTAAGCTTAGAATTTAAGGGAAACTTTCAAGAGGACGGTTATTAGACATTTTACCTTTTTTCAAACCATTTGTGAAGCTTCTCAATTATAACATATAATAAAGCAAAACCTCAAACACCCAGCATGTTTGGTAAATGTATTTTGGGTAATTGGATATATTTTAACTTTGCTCATTGAAATTTTTTCCAAGATGGACGAGTTCACTTTTTGGCTTTGGTACATCTATATTGACCATAAAATCATCTTTCTTTGATTCTGGATAATGTAGTGAGCATTTTCTAGTGCTGTCAGTGAAGAAGCTAGAAGACATTTGGCTCAGTTTGATGGCCCCAGACATCTCTCGACAAAAGTACATCTCTTTGAGTTGCGTTGAAGGGCAGCCGTGAGCGCCCCGGCCCAGGATCCAGACTGTCAGGGTTCAAATCTTATTTCTACCACTTCGTAGCTGGATGACCTTGGGCTAGTCACTCAGTCACTTGAGCCCTCGCTTTTCTCCCCTTTCTCATCCATAATACTATTAACCTCACAGGATATCATACGGGAGATGTTTTGGAGAAATAAGACTTGGTGTAGCCTTCTGTAGTTTTCAAGGCACTTTCCCAGACGAGAAAACTGAGTCTTAAAGATGTCCTGTAAAGCTGAGTCCTAAGATGATCAGTCCAGGATCATACAGCAAACAGACGGAAGAGCCAGAGTGACCTGATGTTGCTTTTAGGCCTGGGAAAGATAAGGTCCCACCACCAGTGACAGCTCTGGCACACATTCCTTGCAATTTCTGCCATTTGGGCTTAGTTACGTCTTCGCTGCTGGCTGCACATGTGGGAGTCCTTTTACAAAAGGTAATGCAAGTTTAGTCAGAGGGGAGAATCTGACTTCGGAAAGGAGAAAACAATTTCTCCTTCTTATGTCTTGGTGTTTCCTTGGTTGTGAAAGAGAGAAGTCTACTCATCTTGCCTTTTTTTTTTTTTTGTCTGTTCTGCTTAGTGTCTAAGACAACTCTCTTGTATTTTCAGCAAATCTCTGCGACCAGAAAAGATTCCCAATCATGTATTTGAGATTGATGAGGACTGTGAGAAGGATGAGGTAAAGATGGGGGCAACTGCGCTGGTTTCTTCAAGATCACTTCTGCTGAGAGATTTCCCTCAGAAAAGATGAGGGAAAGAATTGTTTTTGAATGATCTGGGGCCAGCTTTCAAGCTGACGAGTGTCTTTAAAAATTTTTTTTTTTTAGGGGGCTTTCCTGGTGGCGCAGTGGTTGAGAGTCCGCCTGCCGATGCAGGGGACGCGGGTTCATGCCCCGGTCCGCAGGGGACGCGGTTTCATGCCCCCGTCCAGGAAGATCCCACATGCCGCGGAGCGGCTGGGCCCATGAGCCATGGCCACTGAGCCTGCGCGTCCGGAGCCTGTGCTCCGCAACGGGAGGGGCCACAGCAGTGAGAGGCCCGCGTACCGCAAAAAAAAAAAAATTTTTTTTTAATTGTTGCATTTCCAAATGGAGCTTAGGAAAAATCAAGTGAAATGGGCTGTGATGTGTGTATAAAACATGTTTTCCCACCTGTGGGATGCGCTTGTAGAGTTGCTTTTCCCGCACTGGGCATGTGGCATGGTGATTCATCTGGCCTGTCCTGCCTGATAGATCCCTCTTGGGACAGATGGCCCGGATGTCTGTGACATTTTGAGGTGCAGTTTGACTGTTTATGTAATGCAGAAAACTTTCCCAGAAGACAGTCCATACGATCCAGTAAATACCGAGTGCCTACTGTGTGCATGGCACAGAGCCTTTCATCCTGTAGTTAACAATTTCAAGTTTCATCAGGCATCTTCACGGTGGGGGGGTGGGGGTAGGGGGAACTTTATGCTTTGGAAAGTGAGGCAGGGCCTAGTTCGTGCCCCCCGACTGTTTGATTAGATGCCAAGCCAGCTGCTGTTTTTACTGATGGTTTTCGCTCTATTTCAGGATTCCTCATCTTTATGTTCTCAGAAGGGCGGTGTGATAAAACAAGGCTGGTTGCATAAAGCCAATGTAAATAGCACCATCACGGTTACCATGAAGGTAAGAAGTAGTTATTATATTATTTCATCATTTTAAGGATATTGCCGTGACTAGCCTGTCTGGAAACAATATTTCTTTTTCAAACTTTCTTACAAGGAGCCCTAGCCAAAAAAAAAAAATCTTTAGTGAGAGGATTCTCACAAATGTATGGAATTTAAGAACTCTGACCCTCAGGATGAGTTTAGAAGTACACCTTTTTAAAGAAATGTAATTATTACCTTCTGAATCAGGATGTTTAAAAAGGAGGCTGTCAGTTGAATGAAGAAAATAGCTTTGAAACAAAAAAGGCATCAAAGGTTCCTGTGTGAAAATGAATGTAAATGAGTAGACAAATAGGGTACTCTGTTTCTTTAGCAGATATTAATTAGGTGCTTATTATACGCTGTTCACTGTGGGGAACATATGGCTCGCTAAGATGGGATCCCTGGCCTCCAAAAGCCTCCAGACTAGATAAGAAACATACCAAATAAACTACTATACCAAGCGGGACCTTAGTGCTGTCAGAACTAGGGACTTCTGTAGTCTGGCCAGAATAGTGAGTTTGTGTACGGGGTTTGTGCGTGGCCTTGAGTGCCTCGGACATGAGGTTGGCTTTTGTTCGGGAGGCTGTGGAGAACCATTAAAATCCGAAGGTAAAGCTAACAAGCTACTTGAAGATTCTGAGCGGAAAACTGAATTATTCTCTGATACCAAATATAACTGTCCTTCCAGATATTCAATAGAACATCATGTGGTTTGCCGAGGATGATTCACACTTCCATTAAGTAGTAAAGGTCATTCTATCTTTCACACAGCCTGCAAGCAGAAACCATGGTTGTCTACCAAAGGGAGACTCAAATTTTATCTTAATTTAATATTTTGCCTGCTGCTTTCCATTTAGTGGTCATGTCCTGTTCTCACTTTCATTTTCAAGCCCTGAAAATAATGAATCCAAGCGGTAGGATGCTTCCTGTGCGTCTCGTGCACCTAAGCCGGGGCCTTGGCACGTGGTGAGGATAAGAAAATCCACTTACTGATGACTTAATATGTGCCAGGCACCATGCTGAATGTTTCATATTCTGTATCTCTTTTAATCCTCATGGCAGCCCTAAGACACAGGTATTATTATTATTCTTGGTTGACAAATGTGGAAAGTGAGGCACAAAGAAATGCAGTGATTAACCCAAGGTCGTATAGCTTCGAGTTTTCAGAGGTGGGATTTGAACCGAGGAAGGCTGATGCCTGAGCCTCTGATCTTAATCAGCAGCACACTGTTGATGCTTCCTAGCTGAGTGAGCGAGACTCAGGCGTTTATCGTATTACCTATCAGAGTTACCGGGTTCCGAAGTGCATGTGTGAAGGTGAAAATTCTGGGCAGTTTGTTAGAAAATGCTTCTGCGGTTTTTGACTGCACTCCCTTCCCGTAACCTTCTCAAAATATTAAAATGCTCTACCCGTACTTAAGTTTTAGTTCAACATTAAGTAAATATAATGTATGGAAATCTGGATTTCTAAAACAAGACATTAGGAAGTTAATATCTTTACAAAACAATTCACAGGATTCCTTTCAATAGCGAGTTATTCTAATGACTTTAAATTATAATTTGCTTTACATATAACTTTTTTAGGAGTTCATATATTGTAAATCAAAATACAGTTGTCTGTAAAAAGTGCATGCTTTAAATTTTCTTTCATAATTTGTGAACTACAGATTGGTTAATATAGTAGGCAGAATAAAGACCCCCATGCAAAGGTGTCCATTCCTAATCCCTGGAATCTGTAAATGTTCCCTTACATGGCAAAGGGGAGTTAAAATCACTAATCAGCTGGTAGGGAGGTTAGCCTGGATTATCCAATGTGATTATCATGGTCCTTTTTTTTTTTTTTTTTTTTTT